ATAATGTGCATCATAGAATAAATAAAACGGACAGAGGCGAATGAACTCAATATTGGTTGAAGCGTGAACATTTAATAGGTTTGTCTGGCTCCTTTTATTGCGGAGGTTGAATAAACAGCCCTATGCAGAAGCAAAGATCCACGACTATAAACAAGAAAAGGAAAATGTTGGACTAGACCATTCCATGTCTACTACAAAGGGATAGATAAAATTAGGGTTCCATTCTCGTAAACACGATCGTACCATAACCAACTTCCATAATGATTTCATTTATATTGTTACATTCTATAATAGATATATATATATAATCTGTAATAACAATAAGATTTTTAAAATCAAATGATTTCTCTTTCTTGCTTTACTTTTGTTACAATCTTCTGTCAAATGATAATCTTCTGGTAACATATTTTACGATAATTTTATAAACATATTAAAAAGATAAAACATTTGAACTTTGGTGCAGTTTTATTATGATTAATTTCGATAGTCTGTCTTGAGGAGGATGTTAAATGTCCGTGGGCGCTTCCTTCATTGAAGACAATGAGCGTCGTCCACTTAACATTTTGTCGTGTTAAATTAGTTAATTGCATTCAGTGCAACGTTCCCTGTTACTATCTCGAGATTAAGTACTTCCATATCCTAATTTAAACTCTTGTATAAAATACCATTGCCTTTTTACCCAATCTAATTATCTCGTATAAAATGAGTAATTTAAGGAAGCTTTAAATTTTACACAATGTTCCACTTTTACGCAATATGTCAACGTGTGAAGAAATAACAAAATTACTTTCTTTCCTTTCTCTATTAACTAGCATAAATAAATAATGAAACGAAGTTTAGTGTGATCAATGATCTATGTGTTTTATCATCGTCATCATCATCATCATCATCATCATCATCATCACCATCATCATCATTATCATCATCATCATCATCATCATCATCATCATCATCAACAACAACAACAACAACAACAACAACAACAGCTCGCTATACATTCCTACTGAGGGTTCGAAGCCTACCGCAAGGGCAGACTAAGTATCTACATACACATGTTTGAATGTATTTATTAATAAAATGACTTTAATATTGCAAGTACAAGGTACAATCAAACTTATTAATAAAAACAATTGTTGAATTTAGGCATTAGCTGACGAGTTTCGTTAACAATGGTCCACTGTGCCACATTACTGTGGTCCAATAATTAACCTTCGCATTCCCGCTGGAACAACAATCTGCAGTAATTTACTCACTCACAGATATTGTAGAGGGACTGAGATATCCCAGTACATACCATCGCTTCGGATTAATTTGTTGAGGTTATTTCAATGTCTTGATAAATCTATAACTGTACTAATATTATTATGAGGAAAGATTTGTATATTGGTTTGTATTAAATAACTCAAAAACTACTGCTGGACGGATTTCAATGCTTGCACCATTGAAAAGCTACGTTATCACTAAGTAACATAGGCTATTTTGATTTCTCGCGGGCGAAGTCGCGAGCAACAGGTAGTATCTTATGAAACTATTAGTCGCTAACATAATCAGTTTAACTCGAGATATAAGACTCTGTTTTTTTTTAAAAAAAAAAATAACGATACTGGTTAACAGATGGCGCTAAATATTAAGCAGACCGTTTGTATAAAATTGTTAACACTGGCCACCAATAAATTCAATTTAAAAATAATGTAATAAAAAAGTAAAGTATGATTTTAGGCGCGAAACAAAAGAGTACCTACAAGATGTGATAGAAAAGATGTAACAATGTGAATGTGAGCACTTGCAATAATTTCTACATATTGTAAAAGTAAAAATACTGAAGTTATAAAAACAAGATGGTACTTGTTTATATTTATCCACATGGTAACTTTTTGAAAACAATGTTTAGTTTGTAGTATAATATTTTATAACTTATTTTTAAATATCTAGCAATAAAAATATAGCTTTATTACAATTTTACTGAAATTTTCCATATCAGGAAAATTATTTTCAGGAAGGAAAATCAAATGATATTGCCCTGGTTAAAATGGTTCTTGTAATTCCAAATTAAGCTACGTTCCCAATAGTTTCGTCTAAAAATACCACTTCATTTATCTTCGTAAATGTTGGTAATAATTTGGCAAAGTTCGTTGTCGTTTGATCGCTAAGTGAACAGGTGTATCGGACACTAAAAGGTTCATTAATTTAAGTCCAGGGTCTATTTTCAACCTTTACAATGTGTTAAAATTGAAAAAAATGCAGAATCATTTACCAAACATTAATTACCGTCAGTGATGGATTTAGGTGAAATAAATATAGTGGTAATAAAACGAAATGTAAGTTAATTGATATTTTATCCTTTACCTTGCTTTCACAAGAGAATTGGAAATATTTGTTCCAAAAAAGGTTAATATATTTATACTTCTATACTAATATAATAAAGCGTAAACACACACTTCTTTGTTGCCTAAGATGTCAGCAATAACAGCATGTTTTTGAATAACTCTTCTTTTAATAAAAAACCCCACACTTACGTCACGCTTTAGGTTATATATATATTCACGCCAGTACACTTAGGGGTAAATATTTTGGATAAAAACCCTAAATTGGGAAAGAGACCATAAGTTGCTGCCAACATCAAGGAATCAAGGTTGCCATGGTTTGACATCATGTCATGTCATTTTGACATTTGCAATGGATATTTTGATAAGTGTAAACAATTCAATGATTTTTTATAATTTTAAGCGGATGAAGTCGCATGGGAACAGCTAGTAGCTTATAATTGAACTTCATTATTTAGTCAGACGAATATGTTTGAATTAAAACTGCATTTTTGTTATGATATCTAGCCAGCGGATGTTAGTATATTCTTTGCACACTGTACTAATTCGTGCGGCGAGCGCTAAATGCTCTAAATTGGCTCTATAAACAATTGCACCGTACAAGGCGCTCTCTCAAGTTAATTAGTAACCTTGTGCTTACGTATCGTTTTATTCTCTTTATTCAGCTGAATTGAAATTTCCTAATGTATGTTAATGCTTCTTCTCAAAGTACCATCTTCTTTCGAAGGTCGGTGATCATTAGGACGACTTGCGTTCATTTGACAGTTGACAGCGTGTGGAAGGAAACGGGAAACCACCACATACACATCCCTAGGAAGATCATTATGGCTGAAGTTACTGCTTGTGTACAATCGAACTTAATATAAACTAAGGTAACGTCCTAAACTATATAAACACGTTTTGGAACAATTTACGTTTATCTTACCTTGAATTCCAATGCCAAAGAGTTTATTCCATTTTCCTAAATATAATTTTTTTAAATAAATTGAAATTAAATAATAAAAAAAAACCATTATGCAGCTATCTGTATAACAACATTTTAGTTAAATATTCATATAGCTTTATGTAATTCTAGAAAACTAGAACAACGATCTATAAAGATAAAAATTCAACAGAGATTTAAAATTAATTCAAAGTTCCCGCGGGATCAAGGGAGTTTGTTGATCCAAGAGAAAAAGTATTAGCCCAGTTGGCGCTTGGCATAGTGTAAGGCATCTGTTTGCCAAATTCGGTCATTAATTGCTAGAGAATACTCGGCGGTGTCTTCACTTAGAATTAATGAAAGTGCTTACTGTCCAAATCAGGCAATAAAATTTTGAAGAAACAAATAAAAGTCGAGGGAAAAAAATTGCTTTGGCAGCGAAGTTTAATTTAATGGAAAATTAATGTTAAATTACTTTAGTTCAATAAACTACGATTAACTGAATAGTGCGGTCATAAAAATATACATAAATTGGAAAATATGTTATGATATGTCACGCTGATTGGTTGGATTGTGGCCAAAACTTTGAACCTTTCAGTGTTATCCAACGTGCATTCAGAATACAATTTGTTAAACAGATTATAGGCAATCTAAAAGGAGCCCTAATGGAAAAAACATTAAAGAGTAAAATTTAGAGTAGCATGGTCATAAGAGAAGGGAAGAATCTTTATGACTGTGAAAGATTACAACGCTCTAGCTCTAGCTAGGAAGCCTAGGAAGAGAAGTCGCAGTCGTCAGTCGTTGACGGAAGATAGTTCGATGGAGAACAAAAGTCTGTTGCGCCGATTCTACATAAGTGGAATTAGGACACGGAGGTGACATTCCTGTATTTTGTTAATCAGTGCTTCCTTGTTATTGTTGGTATAGTGTAGATGTTTATAGAATCTTTGTATAGATGTTTACGCTAGCCATAAATGGATACATCCGATGCCAGAGAGTCATTCTTTTGTTGTTGATTGGTCGCGCTCGCTGACACATGACGGTAAAACTCCGGCTTACAATTGTATGCTTGGTTGATTGAACGTAGGAGTGGCTTTACGATATAGTCATGCTTTGTATCAACTATTTACAAATGCGAGCAAGCTTGGTTTTATCACACCTTAGATTTCGATATAATGAATATGGTAACTCTTGAATGTGGCTTCTGAAAATTATGTAGTCAGAAGAGAAAGTTCGAGAAGTTGTGATAGTTGAGGTTAAAGCGATATTTGCGTGAATATAAGAAGTGGTAGTCATTAATACGTGATGAAAAGAGATACAAGTTATATATTTCCTGACTATGTTGATTATTACTCGAATGAATTATGCTATATATCAAAATTGCCATTACTAAAGACAACATACCTCTTTAGCTTAACAAAGTTAATTAGGATCCAGATATATGAATGAATCATAAATGATTCAGTCGTAATTTGACCGTTTTGTAATTGAAAAGGTTGTGGTAAATTGTCCTGGTAACATTATATCGGGTTAAGTAAATTATTCCTTGATTGCTAAAACGTCATCCTCCAATTAGATAATTATAGCGCAGTTAGTTTACAATATAAACGTTGGTTTGCACTACTGATATTATACAAAGTATCTCTGTCTTTAAGCATTATATTCTTCCCCAAAGGAATGGGAACCGAGGAAGGGGAAACTCAGAGTTAGTTAATTTGATTTTAATGTTCTAATAATCACTTTTTTGGTTTCAGGTACAAAACAAAAATGGACATACTTAATGTCACAGACGATGCGACCTCTAGTGTGCGTCCCAGTGAACTATCGAAGTAAGTTATATTGTTTGCAATTAATACCTGTTAAAATCTGCACACAATTGAAAATATATAAATCAGTAAATTCGATTGTTTATAACTGCAAAAAACAGGAATCTAATTGAACTTTACTTTAGAAAATCGATTTAGCTTACCCTACAGAAGGTCTTACTGAAGTCGATATACTTTCAAATCCATAAAAATAACCCTTTAGGCTGAAGAGTGTGCATGTCGGAGGCTTAATTTAAGTCTTCCTTCCCTATCCAAAGGATGGTTAGTAGAAATAGATATTGAAAAAGGGATATGTAATTATCCTCTTTCTAAGCATCCCCTCCTTTTGTTGCTCCCTGCTCGTACTTCATCTGTTTTTAGCCTATCATGAATTTTCTCTAAGATAAATATAATCAAAAAGATGTTTCCATTTCATCCTACATTTTTTTAAGCTTCAAATGAATGTTGGAAATTTATCCGTGTAAAAACCTGCATTGTATCTCTTACAAAGGTTTTTTGTCAGCGCGATTTTTGTTTTGTGCACACGTTTATTCAGTTGGCGGGTGAATAAAATTGGTGGAACAAAAAATATCCTGTGTTCAAAAAAAATGGAGTTTAATTCATTTACCATTCATGAAACATATCATTTATTTTATTAAAGCTTTGAAGAAAAATCTGCTAACAAAGGTCCGAACACCGTACACTGTTTGGAGTAACGTAGAATTAAAAGAAAACGTGCGAAGTAAAATAATAAATAACATTTTACCTTTGTTATGTACTGAATGTTGATTTCAATAGTAATTTAATACGATTGTTGAGTCCTAGACTGTTAGGGCACTCAACCTCGCACGCACAAAAGATTTCCGCTCCAATTTAAAAGCTCCATTGAAAAACAAAACAGCTGCACTTTATGGTTTATATTCAACAGCTCCTTTTGAGACACTTTTTTATTATTTATTAATTGAATTCATTTAAATATTTCGTAAAAAGAAACTTATATCGTTTTCCATCACATCAGATGGTCGTTTACTCGTTTGCCAATTTCCTGCTCGATATCCTCAAGATATCGAGCTCATTATTATATCTCTATTTATAAATTTATATTCCAAAGTTTGTCGAATTCTCATCTCGAAAGAATCAAATTTCACTTATCATTCTTCTCTTATCCTTAGTAGTGTCAAGACCACAGTTAGTGGATTTTTTAATTACCTATTTCTGATTCCATGTTACAGTATTAATGTTTTCTATTACATTTGGGTTGACTGGAGTAATCCACGTCCTGTTCCCTCACGCAAAATACGCGCTAACCGTGGAGTAGCGGCAACTGTAGCCTACTGTACTACTACTACTACTACTACTATTACTACTACTACTACTACTATTACTACTACTACTATTACTACTACTACGACTACTACTACTACATTTAGCTGAATATCTACATAATAGAGTACAATGTTATTATTTTATTACAGATTCTCCCCGGGTCTGTTGACATTCGCCGCGGTAGTCACTGGATTTATTATGATAATAGGATTATTCGGCAATCTACTCACAGTGGTCGCCCTCATTAAGTGCCCTAAAGTAAGAAATGTTGCTGCCGCCTTTATTATAAGGTATGTAAAGAAATAATACACGTGTTTATTGTAACGGACAATTTATCGCTCTCCTATGATAAGTTAACTTTTACATTTTGATAAAGTTTACTATATTATATGACTAGCTTTCGCTAGGGACTCTGTCTGCGATAATTATAAAAAAACAAAAGACAGTTGACTGTGTTTTTCCAGACTATGTTCTACATCTGTGCCAAATTTCATCGAGATCCGTTTAGCCATTTAGGCTACAAACTCTAATAAACATTCATATATCCTTATAATCTTTCGCATTTATAACATTAGTAAGATTAATAAATATCGTTTTTGTTTGCATTGATTGGCTTCTAAAATGCTGATCCAATTTCAAAACTTCTTTCGCCATTTTTATTGAGTGACGTAGTCTATCTTACTCCTTACTAATAATATAAATGTGAAAGTTTGGATGGATAGATGGATGGATGTTTGTTAGAGTTTGTAGCCTAAACGGCTAGTAGTCTGCAAGAACACAAAGGCTATTCACTTTTGATTTTTTCAAATCCACGTGGAAGTCGCGGGCGAAAGCTTGTATTTTATATCTACGACAAAGCTGGGGATGATCGTTAGGTAATAATAAAATATACAAGTAATTTAACGTAAACTGGAACTGCACATCAAATTTCAATTAGCATAACATAGAATTCTATTAACGGTACATAGTTTCTCTGCTTCGTCGCACCACCACTGAAAATTGATGTTTCAATTTCAATGTTATTTTCACTTAAATGCTCTGCCAACGGCTTACAGCTCGGAATAACACGCTATTATTCAGTGAGATTTATCCATCTTGATACTTATATAAATAAAGACAAAGGATTATTGTAATGATGATTTGAAATCAGACTTGTTCAAATTGTAAATCCCAAAAAAATGATACTGGGTATAGAACTTACGAAATGTTTGTAACTATGTTGCCATAGTCAGTGTTACCAAGTGAAAGTTAAGGGCGTCCCTTATCAACCATTAAACAACTCTGATTACAGAATGTCTATCGAAGTTATTCTATTCAATTACTTACAAATTTAAATTTTTAGGACAATTTGCCTTTCAAATTAAGTAGTAAAAAATTAATTCTATTATGTCTTTTTTATAAAGCAGAATTTAATAAATCATTTTTGTATTCCAGTCTTTGCATAGCGGACTTTTTATTCTGTGCAATGGTACTTCCGTTCGCCATATCGGGCTTCTGGACTCGGACGTGGTCGCACGGGGGCGCGCTGTGCAAGCTGGTGCCGTTCCTACGATACGGCAATGTTGGAGTCTCATTGCTCAGCATCGCACTTATCACCTTGAACAGGTAAACTGACACTACCGATAGATGGCGCTGCATATAATGATGGCCACACACGTTAAGTTTGGCGTGGTTTTATTCTTGCCATTGTCATCGTTTTAACCAACAAAAGTATTATATAAACGTGTGGTTTATCAAAGGTAAAAAAATTACATTACAATGAAGTTTCTACTAGAAGCATTTGCTTTTTAATTTCTTACTTTATTAAATATTGTACGTTTCTTTCAAAATAACTATATTGGAATACTGTCACAAAAATGTATATTATTGTTATCATATTTCCCTATTCTTTATTTCACTTGTCTCTTGAGTCTTCTATCTTTATACCACTTTACATATTAAACTATCTCGAAAAAAGCCGTGGAAATATTGAAATCTTTAGTTTATACGTCGTATAAATCAAGAGAATTGGCTCATTCAATTTATTCAACAACGCAGGTGAAAACGTTATTCTTTTGTACGAAATCTAGTTTGTGAATTCAATTTTCACAGATTTCATATCTCAATGAAATCTACAGTATTAAACTGTCTTGTGACTCGCTAAATTGTATATTTTCGACACTTTAATATAATACTAGCTATTTCCCGCGACTCCGTCCGCGTTGTATTAAAAGAAAGTGATAGTACTATGATCTACATCTATGCTTTTCATCCAGATCTGTTCAACCGTTTAGACTACAAACTTTAACAAACAATCATCCATCAATCTAAACTTTCGCATTTATAATATTAGTATGGTTAGATAATAGTAGTTAGATTAATTGTCAATTCTACACTTTTCTTCACAAAAATCACTGACAGGTAACGACATTCATTTGTCCAGTTGTCTTGTCTAGTTGTATAAGTCTTGTTTAGAAAAAAAACTCGTTATGGGCAACGTAAAGCTAACCCATCGTTTTACTCTGACGTCATGTAATTTTCAATTAAATGTTTTCTACGAAGAGTCATACATATTTATTTACATTTAGTATGTAAAACTAGTTATTATGTGGTAGAAGATATCAAAATAACTTTGATAAATAATTGTCAATTCATTTTAACTTAAGAAATAGTTATAGAGCATGGATTCAGAAACTTTGTAGCACAATATTGTGATAAATAGTCTGTCATAGACAGCTTTCATCTTGTAGAATATGGATACTAAGAATATGGTAAATAAAGCGTGACGACGGTGAAGTACTGCATTACTGTATTTGACATTCAATTTTGCACGTTCGTTTAGAATAATCACTTTTACCATTGGTTTCTACTGCACAGATATCTATAGTGTCGTCCCGCTCATTCTCTTTTATAAAAATGAGATAGTGGCATTTTGTCTCGATGGCACAATAACCCATGGTAACAGAAGACATGTGTCTAGGTTGTGACTTATTTGTTTGATTTTTTTTTTATAATATATGGCGGCAAACGAGCAAGCGGCCACCTTATCCACCGAACTGGAAAGTCAGGGGTCGCCCTGCCTATAAACATCCGCAATTGCAGATTGCTAATTGCTTACCCTTTATCGACGGAGGAGAAGACGCACATAAGGAGGACATTTCCCCTTCCTATGCGTCTCCTCCACCGTCAAATCCATTTTTCCTTGCCATCCTTTCCTCTTAAGAAAAGGCTGAAAATGGAAAGGGACTAAAATTAGGGCTCCGGCACCACACTCATAAGACGAAACGCGGAATTGCTTCCACTTCACGCCTGTTTTCTGTGTGGTCGTGGTATTACACCGGGCTAGCCGACCCATTCGTGCGAAGATGTTAAAGCGGGCACTACCACTGTTTAATTGAGATAGTAAAATTTGAAAAATGGAAAAATGAGATAGTGGCATTTTGTCTCGACGGCATAGTAACCCACGATAACAGAAGACATATGTCTGGGTTGTGAGTGTCTTGTTTGTTTGATAATGATGATAACCATTACTTTGTTCACAGGTATATAATGATAGCGCACCACAGCTGGTACGCACGAGTATACAGGAAGCACAACATAGCGTTGATGATCGTCTTCTCCTGGTTATTCTCGTACGGCATGCAGATACCCACGTTACTCGGGATATGGGGTAAATAATAATTTTCTTAAGTAGACGCCTCCACTTTGTCGCCTCCATCTTATCAGGCAGTCTCGCTTGGAGAAAATATCATCCGTGTTGCAAATTCAGATTTTAATAAGCAATACTAATATTAGTAACTAGCTGTTCCCGTGCGGCTTCATCCGCATGAAATTATGCAAATTTTATTTTGTTTACATTTATCAAATTATCAATTACAAATGTCAAAATGACATGACATGATGGCAACCTTGCTTCTTTGATGTTGGCAGCAACTTATGGTCTCTTTCCCACATTAGGGTTTTTATCCAAATTATTTACCCCTAAGTTTAACTGCGTGAAAATATACAGCCTAAAGTGTGTCATAAGTGTAGGGCTTTTTATTAAAAAAAGGATTATTTAAAAATATGCTGTAATTGCTGACATCTTAGGCAACAAAGAATTGTGTGTTTACGCTTTATTATAATAGTATAGATATAGATAAGTATAGAAGTATAGATAACTAACGATTTTTTTATATCTTCAGGTAAATTCGACTATGATCCAGAACTGGGTACTTGTTCCATTATGCCGGACGACCTTGGTCACTCCTCAAAGACCGCACTCTTTGTTATCGCATTCATCGTACCGGCATTACTGATCTTCATTTGCTACGCAAGAATCTTCTGGGTTGTTCATAGGTACGAATATACGATATTTATTGTATTAAAAATATTGTAGTAACTAGATCTGTTCCACGCGTTTTGTTTTGCTTTTCAATGTGATATTATGTAATCCATTTCACAAGCCTTTTCCCACATGAAACAAACTAGGCACGACTTGTCTTCATGCTGTGTGACTGTGAATATTACAAGATTACTATTGTAAAATAGTACGGGAGTCAGGTCCAGTATTTTCTATCGTGACTCTTTCACATCTATGTAAAGTTAACGTTTATTTACATTCATTTCATAAATGGTAAAAAAAAATTATAATGTAACGATTTTTCCATGTAATTTTTCAGTTCGGAGCAAAGGATGCGTGAACATCAACGCTCGCAGCACTCAGGTCCTGGCACTCTCAACAACACAGAGAAGAGGTCCACAGTGAAAGACAACCGGGACAGCAAGGCGCGCCGCAACGAATGGCGCATCACAAAAATGGTTCTCGCCATCTTTCTCTCCTTCCTCGTCTGCTACCTGCCCATCACTATCGCTAAAGTCGCTGATAGTCACGTGCATTTTCCCAGTAAGTGAACATTTAGTAGTAAATGTTACCAGAAACCTAAGAAACGGGTTAACGGATAAAGAAGAAATTTGGCAGAATAGAAAGTAGCTTCCAACAAAACTTAGAATTACAATCAGGTCTGATATTAAAAGTCTTTCATTCTAGTAAAATGTGTGCTAATATTATAAAAAGGAAAGATTCATATTTTTTGCATGTATTGAAATAACTTAAAAACTACTAAGCCGATTTTAAAAATTCTTTCATCGTTAGCAAGGTTATTTATCTATGAGTAACATAGGCTATAATATTTATTTCACGCGGGCGTAGCCGCGAGTAACATCTAGTCTAGTAGGTCTTGATATCGTCAGTTAATAAAATCAGAATTCTTTAACCTTAAATATGACTATGTTTGTATTGCAGTATTCCACATAGCGGGCTACCTGTTGCTGTATGCGAGCGCGTGCGTGAACCCTATCATCTACGTGATAATGAACGCGCAGTACCGCGCGGCGTACGCGGCGGTGCTCTGCTGCCGGCTGCC